TTGCCCAAGGTCACACAGCTGGCAGGGCAAAGCAGAAAACAGCACTGGAACTTTCTGAGACCAAACTCATTCTCTGCATCTCCCAGCCTGCTTTCCAAGAGGCTCCAGGCAGACACGGTGGTAATGGGTGTTTCTGCCCTTATTCCTCTTCCTGTTCTTCACTTAGGAGTTGAATTCCTAAGAACACCACTCTGAGTAGTGTCCTGTGCTCATTAAGCATATGGCACTGCTGACCTTCAAACAAACCAGCCTGGTTTGCTTAGCATCTGCATCTGTGCTAGGAGAGGCAGGAAACCCAAGCTGGGAAGGAAGCCAACCCTGGGGCCAGATGGGGTAGGTTTAAATCCTCGCTGCATGGCTCACCAGCTGTGTAAGTTCGAGCATGTTACCTAACCTCTGATCGATGTATGAAAAGCATGTAGCCCAGTGCCAAGGACGTGATAAAAATTCAGTAACTGATACAGATTTCATTATTACTGAGTCCTCATCTCCCTTCTTTGGGACCATACCATAAAAAGAAAACCACCAACAAATGTTGATTTACACCTTCAACTTCCTTTTCTTCTCTCCAAAGAAAAAAGTCATGAACATATAAACAGAGTGAATGTCTTGTGCATGCACACTCGTGGGTTTGGCTAATGAGTCCATCTGGCTGTACACAACCCCCATGTGCTAGAATAACCCATCCTACTCCTTAAGCCAAATTACAATTTAAAAATTGAATGAATGGCACTCATCCTTCTACTTTCTTTTTATATGTGATTGACAAAAATCAGCATTTACTGTGGAAGTTACTGTTCTGGAAAGCTGGGCTTGCGCCCAAAACCAAAATTACCTGAACAGCCTGAACTTCTGAAGTTTACCTCCAAGCTAGTGAAAATAATCAGCTGCCAAGGGCTCCCTCTACCGGCACCAAAAAAACAAAGACTAAAATTTAAGATCTCATTTATGTGTGATACAGAAAATTGTGTCCCTTGCTGCTTCTTTGTGGAAAGGAGTAAGAGACTTACTTCAAGCTATTTTTCTTTCTGAGGGATGGAAGTTCATGACCTGGAGATCCAAATTTCCTTTTATGTACAACAGGAAACTGGAAATAATGCCGAGACAAAAGCTCACACAGGGGACTCAAGGATTCAGAGGTGGGGAGACCATGTTATATGAGATCATGCTTTATGAGATCATACTGTGTGAAAAACAGCTGAAGAAAATGGGGGTGGCTCAGCTGAGAGAGGACTGAGGGGTGGGGAGCTAGAATGGTATATGACAGGTTAACATGGGCATGCCATCAGCCTTATACTATGAGGCCCCACTAGAGAATAGAGTTATCAGAGAACAGATTTTATCTCATATAAAGGAAGAAAATTTAAATAATGAGCACTGTCCACACATAATGGGCTACACAGTGCAGGGGTGAAGGAACATCTCTGAAGGGTTTAAGCAAGGGCTAGAGCTGAACACAATATTGAGACTGGTGAGATGGCAGAGAACTAAACTAAACTGTATTTAGGATTTTAGTTCTAAAATCCTGAGGATATATATTAAACCCCTAAACAACTGAATAGTCCTCTTCCTAGAAGGCTGGTGGTATCTTTCTCAGCATTACCTTTTCCATATTAAATATCAACATTTTGTGCTTCAAGCCCTGATTCAGTCTCATAATAAATTTAAAAAGAAAAGAGATCAAAATAAAAATAAAGAGAAGATTATAGTAATATCAGCTTCCTCATTTTAACATTATTCTCTGGTTTACATAAAATATTACTGTAAGAAAAAGCTAGGTGAAGGGTACACAGGGCCTCTGCAATATTTTTTCAACTTCCTGTGACTCTATAATTAATTATCTCAAAATAAAAATCTTTGAATAATCAAATTAAAGATACTTTCACAAGAGGTTCCAAGTAACCTCAGAGACAACCCAGGTGGTTCAAGAGTGCAGTGTCATCAGCCACAAATGGCTCTGGGCAAGTACCTACAGGCAGTAAGGCTCGTTTCAAAACCATGATCAATCAGCTGTTAAGATTTACAGTTGTGATTAGGAAAACCTATGTCATGTTGACAGGTGTCTAATTTGGTTATCCTGATGATAAATCTTCAATTATCTGGGATCACATCATTAAAATCACCTATAGGCAATACATTCCTACAACTGCTTCTTACGTGGTACTATACGGGAACTATGTACAGACTTAATTACTGTATTTATCTAACTGTAATAGAATAACGTGCTTATGTCTCCTTCCTCCACTATGACCTGAAATAAGAACTGCATCTTGTTCATCTCATTTTGTCACTAAAACCGAACCCATAGTAGGTTCTCAGTAAACAAAGAATAAATAAGAAAAAAGCCAGTAATTAAGTAATTTTCTTGGACATTTGGGGATAACTTTCTTTTCTGATACCAAGGCATCCACAGAAATTATGGTCTCTACTTTAGAATCAAAATTAAATATATATATATGTACATATGTGTGTGTTTATGTGTGTGCATGTGACAAACTCTCTGAAACACAGGGGTTTAGTCTCTATAAAGATCTTTATAACCACTTGTTTTTGATTTGTTAGTTTCCTAAGATGCTGTAACTCAGTTTGATTTAGGATAGAATAGAGAGATCAGGCTTTTCCAGGAAAACCAGTAAGAATTGTTGACCAGATACCCTCAGCTCGAACATCCCTGCTAGCATGAGCTCTGCCCAATCTTACCAAGTGCCAAGAACAATTCACTTATTTCAGAAATCAATGAGATAGCATTACTTTTAGACTCCTCAAAATTAACCAATAAAAAAGCATACAATTTCTCTCTAAATTTTCTCCTTCTCAATTTATTAAAATATGTTTGTCTAATAAGTATTCTGAAGAACCCAAATCAATCAAAGCAGTGAGATCACAAAGTGTTGCTTCTTTCTACAAAGAAGGCATGTCATTAGCTTGTACAGAAAATCTAATGGCCACATTCAAAATCAATTAGGCTTCTAAAGACATGATGGAGGCTACTCACAATCCCAGAGACACCAAGGACTCCACAGGGTCAGCCATCTATACAGGCTCAGAAACTGGCTTGATCCTTACAACCTCTGCAAAGCCATCGCCAAACCAGCAAGTCACATGTGCTGTATCTATAGTGAAGTAGAAGAGGCGATCCTGGCAGAGCTTCCGTCGATATACAGACCGAGGGTCAGCTGACAACACAGCCTCAATGGCATGCTTTGCTTCCTCTGCTGATTGAAAATATTTAAATGAAGCTCGACTGACATCTGCAATGAGAAGAACACACTTAATGCTCAAAATCACACAGGTCAGATTTCATTACAATAAACTTCAGTGTGGAGTTTGGTTGGTTCTTTGAGTATCACTTGAAATGAACAGGGTTTGGAAACCTATTTCGTCAATATAGAGAATGTCACGTATAAGTGGTATTTACTGTCATTAAAACTACGCATTCCCTAAATTTTCACTTGCTGAGCAAAAAAATCATGGTGATCTTTTTCCTTTAGTCTCCTAACTAGGAGAGATATGCTTCCATTTTTTGGCAACCTAAATGTCACTTATCTATGTTCAATGTAGACTTTCATTCAATTCCTTGTCATTTTCTTCTCAGAATGGAGGTATGATCAGTGCCAGTCCCAGCATTCTCATAATACCACAAGAAAGAGGACTAAACCCACACATACTGAGAGTATAACTACAGGCAAGGGAGAGAGCCTCAGAAAGCCAGGTCACAGCCCCATTTTAAAAGTATCACACAGTCCCTAAGGAACAAGGACATGGGTAAGTCCTTGTGAAAACAGTGGAACAGATACACTGAGTAAGTTCAGTGCCATCATTAGGGAGCAGGCCACCTCATTCCACTCAGATGTATATTTCAGGTAAACAGATATTCACCCTATCAAGTGGTAAACTTCCTACCTTTATATCATTGTGGGTGTACTTTAATTTTTAAAAATACCGTATGTAAAAAGCTTAAATAAAAAATTACCTGTGACCTCATTTCAAATAGCTACAACATAATGTACATCCAAATGAAGGCCTTCTTTCCAAGACATGTGCTCTGAAACAATGTGGTACCTGTTTAAAATATTATCTGGAGTGGTGGTGGATGTTTATCCTTTTGAAAGTAAATTCAATTTTTAGAAAACAGCCAAAAATCACTCTGGGTTATGTCCAGTAAATAAGTTGGTAAGTAAAGCCATCAAGTTCAGTTTGTGGTCAGAAACCAAGGACCAAATACAGTACTAAGATTCTTTTATTGAATGACTCTAAAGCCACAAAGAGGAGTTTCAAGAATATCACACTCATCAGTAACAGTGTGTCTGGTAAGAGCTCCAGGCCTTTGCTTGAATAGTCATTTGGCATAGGCGCCCTTCCCTCATTTCTCTGCCTGCTTATCTTCTAAGTTCAGCTCAAATACCTCTTCTTCCAGGAAGCCTTCCTAGATTTCCTCCCTGCTCTCCAAGTCAGAATCCTTCTCTCCCTTGTATGCCCACAGCACTCTATTCCAGCACCAATGTCCCCCACTCCCATTTCAGTATCTTTCATCTTTTCTAACTCTGAACTTTCAGAGGTCATTTCTTATTTCTGTCCTCGCTCTAAATTCTGCTGCCTATTATAAATGAGCCCCTGTTTTATATTTATGTTTCACAATTTCTCTTTTTAACCACTTTTAATCAGTAAGGCATATTGTAATCTCTCAAATATGGAGAACTGCAGTTTGAAACAAATAAAACTTTTCAAAGTAGGAAGCATTCAATGATAACCACAAGATAGGGTTTAAGTATAAATATAAAGTATCTTCTAGGCAGCACTTTGTTCTACCAAAACACCCTTGTCAACTGACTTTCTTCCTCCCAACAATTTTATACAGTGATGAAACAACCTTCATTAACAAAACTTTTTAACTAAAGAGATCAATTTAAAAATCAAATGCTTTGTTTAAATATAAAGCCTTAGGAGAGAATAAGCACAACCTTCAAGTGGCAGATGAAATTTGCCATCTCATTGGCAGCTAACTGGCTACTTCTCACTGGAACCACTGAACCCCCTCTTACCAGCCCCTCCCTTCATTCTGGATTGCTGCTTGGGGTCTGATGTGGTCTGGGGAACCAGATAACAAAGTTATATTAAGAGCCATGTGGTAAGGTGAAAAGGCTTCAAGGGAAAGCCCTATGGTTTCTCCTCTGTAGTGAAGTGCATGTCTCTAGTGCCGGGACTTCATGGGATAATTTCTGTGCTAAGAGACTCTTTCTGTCTTACTCCTGGGCTCTGTGCTAGGGGCTGAGCTATCAGCCACCTGATGGAATAAGATGGGATATTTCTCTAGTCAGATAGTAAAAGTGATGAAAAACTTAACCTATGTAAGTATAGAACAATCACAACCTAGCTCCTGAATGCTGTTTGAAAACTCCAAGAACCATCATGACAGAAAGACAGGCCCTAAATTACAGGTCACGCATGTGCATCAGTCGTGAGGTAGCAGCCATTCTCAGTACTGGGACTCACTGTGCTGAGCAGTTGTTGATGAAAGTCACAGATGGTGGTTTTGCCCAGATAGTACTTTATACTCCCACATTTCTTTATAACCAATCATACTGACAAATACTCTACATAACTGCCCTCAGAAATAACAAAATTGGCTAAATATCCTAGCAAAAACTCATCTGTCATTCAGAAATAAGAAACTGAAAGTAACTGGCTCACCTTCTGAACTGAGGTGCCTAAGGTCCATCTCTGCATGAGGAGTAAACCGGACTTCCAAGGTGGCCACAGGGGCCTCTCTCACCCAGGCAGGTACCACACTGGCGTCAGACACCCTGGAAGGGCAGTGAAGAGCCGTGGGCTGCACCTCTGCATTGTTTCCTTCTGGGACTGCTGCCTCTTCCTGTCTTCTAAGCCTTTTTTCTGTACCTTCCTCTGAAAAGCTCTTCTCCAGGCAATATGGGCCAATTTGCTCTTCTGCTACACTCATACTCTGATCACTTCTTGATTCAAAATCTGCTGTTCTCTCCATGTAGTTAGGTGAGTTTTGCTGGATTTTTGCCATGTTGTGTTTCACGTAGTTTTCTCCTGAAGTTCTGTCTTCAGGACATTCAGGTTTCTCCTTAATGCAACTGTTGGGTTGTGGTTCATCACACCCTGAGAGCTGTTGTTGTTCACAGCTGGCACTCTTGCCATCAGATGGGGACATGGTTTCTGGTGTATATTGATTATTCTGTAAATTAAAGTCCCCTAGAGGCTCAATCAAATTTTGTGGTGAGTCATAATCAGCTATGTAGGGCTTTATGTCAAGTACGGGTGTGCCATGAATCATGTCAATTCCAGAAAGGTATATAGCTCCACCTATAATGTGAAAAACATCCTCTTAGAAATATTAACATGAAAAATAGCACATACAGAGCCCCAACACTGCTATGCCTTGCCAAGCTTACACCCAAATGTCTTACACTCCAGGCTTTCTTACCTCATAACTCTTTTCTTTCTGCCTGGAAACCCATTCTCTTCTTCACCTGTGAAACTCCTACTTGCTCTTCAAGGCTTTCACATTAACACCCCTTTTACAAAGCCTTTGTGGATCTTCCACACGTAAGTGTTCTTTTTTCTGAGTTCCACAAAGAAACCTGTGTATAAACCTCTACCAGAGCTCTTTTCACATGATCTGGCAACAACCTGCTTAGAGTCTCTCTCCCTAGACAGTGAATACGCCCTTGAGCACTGGGTGGAGCTGACTCATCTTCACATCACTGGGGCTCCTAACTCTGTTCCAGGCACATCAGAGTCCTCAAACTGTCCTTGGACCAATGAGGGCTTCCACTGCAGCAAAGAGACTCTAACATGGTCCCTAGGATGCCCACCTCTTGGTGTTCAAACCCTTGCACAATCCCCTCATCCTGACTGTCACCTGATATGATTCCAGAGACTATGTTTTGCTATCTAAGACTTCTGTGATTGCCGGCAAACTCACTCAAGACACTTCACCTGGCCTTGACAAATAAGCAGCTATGGTGGGAAAGCCCATGTGGCAGGGCACTGTGGGTGGCCTCTAGGAACTGAAGGCAGCCACCAGCCAACAACCAGCAAGAAGCTGGACTTTCCATCCCAAAACTACATGGAAGTGAATTCTGCCAATAACCTGAATGAGCCTGGAAGCAGATTCTTCTATTCAAGCCTCCAGATAAAATCTCATCCCAGCTGACACCTTAACTATGCCTGGTGAGACCTTAAGCAGAGCACCAGTTCAGCTGTTCCCATATTCCTGACCCACAGAAATATATTTCAGACATGTAATAAATGTGTTTTGTTTAAAGTGATAAGTGCATGGTAATTTATTACACAGCAGTGACAACCCAGTATATCCANCAGTGACAACCCAGTATATCCATTGAGAATCAAACAACTAAGCAGAATATAAGTCACTGTTACCAAATATTGAGGACAGGTCTTATATTGTCCCACTTATACAGCTGCATGTCTAGTTCAGTTCCTGCTACTGATGCAGAGTCTACTAACTTATCCTTGGGAAACTGGCCAAGTGAGAATCAAAAAATTGCATGTGGTCATATTCAATTCTGTCTCCACTTAAAAAAAAATTCAACTAACAAAGGACTCTGATTTCTAAAACACACTTACTGCTTATGAACCAGGAGCTTTGGAAAGACAATTTCTGGACTAAGTGATGGATTATGCTTAACAATGTCTTCAGAAGGAAGAAAGGACTATAGCAGAGGTAAAAGTTCATGGGATTTGGAGTCAACCACCTGGCTGGAAGCTAGTAGGTAAATTAGGTAACATAAAAGAGCCCCAGTTCTCTTATTCAAAAAATGAGGGCAGCTATCCTACCAAACCCACAGAGCCACTGTGAGAGGATGGACATAAACATGCTTTATAAACTGTGAAGCGCACACAAACACTGGCAGTGACCCTAACACGTGTTGTGTGTGTTGTCTAGAGTGGTCCCGCACTTGCCTTTCATCTAAGAGGGCCTCCCCCATGAGGGAACGGTAAGTCTTTCTGCAGGGCAGGGAATTTTGTCTGGTTTGTTTACTACTATATCTCCAGCACCTGGAACATGCCTGGCCCATATTCAGTGCTCAGAAAACAGGTGTGGGTTGTACGAATGATCATAAGATGTTCTTGTACTGTTAGCCAAGCTGGTTAGCCATCCCACATAGATAAAACAAGACAGAAAGGCTACAGAATTTTCCTGTAAAACCTGTCCAAGGCCCAGTTGAGCACATCCGACTGTTCAAGTTCTGGGAAAGAACAAGCACAACTACTCTCATCTGTTGAGCATGGAGTAGCCTGAAAAGTACTCTTAGAGCTTTTGTGTGGTAAGATCCTCAAACAAATCCTATGGAGTCCCAGAGAAGGCAGGTCCTACTCCTTTGCCCACTTTACAAACAAGCAAGCCAAAGCCTAGAATGATC